CATAACTGCCCCCCCCCGCCCCAGGACTTCTCCAGCCTCATCTCAAAACGCTTCTTCCCCCCCTTGCTGAGACTCCCCGTGCGCTCGGTGGGGGACGAGGGGCAGGACCGGGAGCCCTGGCCACCACAGGGCTCCCAGCCCTCCCCGCTGCCTCCGGGGCTGCAACTTCACCTCATGTCAGAGCAGGAAAAAATCAAGGCGAGGGGCCCTTTTGCTAATGTTTTACATCTGCCTGAGCGCTCCAAGCATGCTGGGGTTTCTTGGGAGAGGTAATTTCTTCTAGGAGACTGGCAAAGGCAGCTCCTCTAAAGGGCTCTCATGCCCTAAACCTGACCTGATTATTTTTTTCAGGTGGATTGGCTGATCTAAGAAATACCTGCCTCTAAATCCTACCTTGCCCATCGCTGCCATGGGGGGATATACCACCCGGGACTATACGTTCTGCCAGCATCAGTGGGGTGCATGGTGCTGCACATCGCGGGGCCACCCATCCCACTCCCTCCCGCGGCTCCCCACTGCTGTTCAGCATTGATCGTGCTCTGCCTGGGTGCTCAGCGAGACTTCAAATGACTTCGCTAACCTAATTACACAGAAACACATTTTTGCGAGGCACAGTAGCAGCCGGCAGTCCTGGGGGGCGGCTGGGCACTCTCGCAGGCTTGGCTGATTACGCCCCCCCCCCCCCCCCCCCTCACAATTTCCTTGTAATAATTAAAAATGTATTTCTTTAGCAGCCCGTACGGAGGGGAGGGTGGCGAAGGGCCAGCAGGCAAGGCGGAGGGCAGATATTCAGTGGTGCATTTCCAGCGCTCGCACTCCATCAGCACCCTGGGTCGGGTCCAAGTTGGGGGCGGCCGGCGCTGGCTGAGCGCAGCCCTCCCATCCCGGTGGGCTCGGGAGCAGAGCTGCTTTCCGTCCCGGGGATCAGGTTGCCCATAGAAAGATGCCTGGGCCAGGTGTTTTGGGCTTGATCGGGGGGATTTGGCCGTTGGGCTGAGCAGCACGTGGGCTGGGGGGACGTGAAGGAGGAGGGAGGCAAATGGAGCAGGTGCTCGGGGCTTTAAAAAAAGGAGGTGACCACGCATTGCATCGAATGTGTGTTTTTAAGCGACATCTCCATTGCTCTCTGTGTGCTGTGGGTCCGGAGCAGCATCAGCCCCGGTCCTGCCCTCGCCTCTGCATTCGGGGGCTCCCCGTGGGGTGATGTGCGGCTGAGACCCTGCGCTTTCCTGAGGGGCTTTGCCTTCTCAGCCCCTTCTTTCCATCACGGCACCGGTCTTCATCCTCCATCCACCTCAGCAGTGATGGAAAGGCGGACCTGAGCCTTTCAAGCCCAGTCCCCTTTGCCATTGCTGAGCCTTCAGCTGTGACCTGGCATGGGGGTCTCCCGGGGGGCTCACTCCTGCAGACTCGTCCTCGTGGGAGATGCAGGCTGAGAGCAGCCGGCGGCGTTGGGATGCACACGTTCAACCCAGACCCACGTGCTGAGACGCAGCCCACGGTTGTGCTTGGCTTCTTCCCCGAAATAAGGCACCGTCTGGAACCCCAAGTGAAAACACTGCAGCGATTGCATGTGCCCCACCGCACCCGGCTCCGCTCACCCCCTGACCCTCCAGCTGCCTTATCCTCGCCAAAAAGCAACAAATCCAGCCAGAAAGCTGCAAATATCCCCCTCGACACCTGCGCTTCCAGCCCAGCCTTGTCCCCGAGGAGGGGACGGGGCCACGCGGGCAGCAGGTCCCGGCACCGGGGCCGTGATTGATGAGTGACTTCCCTGCCCTCCGGGGCCGCGGCATCGAGCTTTGCTTGTTCAAGGACTTCAGGGGAATTTCTGCCTTTCTTTAGGCTCCGCTTTTCAGTTCACTGCGTTTTAAGCCTTCCTGCTCTGCTTGAGAAAGCTGGAAGGTCAGTGGGGGGAAAAGTGGCTTTTAACAAGCAAAAAGGCTGCAACACTGTTCTCGGCATCGCTTTTTTGGTGTGATATTGCCCATTTCACCCCCAAACCAGCCTGTTTGCTCTCTCCAAACCCCTTTCCCACAGCCAAACTGTGCTTGCCGTCGTGGGAGGAGGCAGAGCACGGCGCGTTGTGCAAGCCTGTGTTGACAAGCTCAGACTCCCCAGGGAATAACCCAGATGGATTTGCTCTTGAAAAACCGTGCTTCGGATAACGATGCAGCTTTCCTAATTACTCCAATGGCCGGATCCCAGACAGCGTAGAGCAGCTCGTGGATCAGGGCCAGTTTGAAGCAGCTGAGGCTCTGGGTCCACTGATGCTCTAATTCACGGGACGAAGCAGCGAGCGGCCTCTGTCCGATCGCCTCGAGCTCTAGCGGCAGCAAAGGGAGCGATTCATGGGAGCTAGGGAGGAAGGAGGATTTATTAGATCAGAAAGTCTCCCAGTGAATGCAAGATTGTTTTTTCCTCCCAACTAGCCGAAGCCAAAGATGAGCCTCAGTGGGTGCTGGGGGATGCTTGCTTAACCCAGACTAGCGTGGGAGAAGCACCCAAAACTGGAGCATATAGAAGTTGTGGGGACTACTGGTGCCTCTGTGGGGTGGCTTATGGTCCTCCCCCGGCTGGGGGAGACCACATCCCAGTCCTCTTTCCTGCTGGTGGAGGATTCACACGTGTCCCTCATCCATAGGCGAGTGGCCAGGGGTCAGGGCACAGCTCCCCACCGGCGACCACCCCTCACTGAGAGCTGCGGCCAGAGGCCGTGCGGAGCCGTGCACCCCAGGGAGAGGGAGCCCTGGGTTTCCTTCCTCTGCCAGCGCCTGTTTATGCATTTTATCCAATTACTGCCTAATGCAAAATGCATAAGGAGCCCTTGGAGCGGGGACAGAAACCCACGGCTCGGCTTTGCCGTCCTCATCGGCAGAACCGACCCTTTAGGACAATTTCCAGCCTCAGCTGAATGACTTCATGAGAAGATCTCTCTGTCTTTTTTTTTTTTTTTTTTTTTCATTCCAACCAGTTGCTGGTTAATTTTTGCTCTGATTTAGGAACAAAAATCGTATCTGGAGGCTGAATTTGCTTTACTTAAGCATCCCACTGCTGCATCTTAGCTAGGCTTTTGCTGCTAGATTAAAAGCTTTTGCGCCGGGGAATTGGGGCTGCTTTCAAGAAGTCTTGAGCTGGCCCACCTCAAACACCAAAAATCGCAGGGGGGCTCTTTGAAAACGCGAGCCACCGCCGGCATCGTGGCTTCCCGGCTAACCTGGCAGGGGCCGCGCTGCCGGCTGTCGCTTGACCTGAGACAGGAAAGAAACAGCTTGTACAACTGAGCCCTGTTGTGGCTTTTGAGGTTTTAGCAAGTTAAAGCAACAAATTGTCCATTTAAGTGAAACCTACACTGCAGTCCGGTTCCCAGGGGAGCCCCAGATCCCGAGCCAAAGTCCGAGAGAGCAGTGGGAGAAAAATCAATCCTTATTATAGGAAAT